AGAAACCAGCATACCAAAACTCCTTAATTCAAGGTATTATCTCTTTCCGCTGTTCAAAAAATAAGAAAAAAAAAGTATCATTCAAACCTCCCCCTATATATCATAAAAACAGAAAAGAGGATTTTCTTTTAGTTTTGCAAAATTTCCTAAAAGGAAAAGAGGTTAAAATCATAAATATATATATATATATTATATATATATTATAATATATATATATATATATATATATATATATATATATATGCAATGTTACAGGAAGGTAAACCAAAGTTAAGTTGGGTGCACGAGAGAAAAGTGGCAAGCATGGTGAAACCTATACTTGAAGATACTGTAAAACTGTTGGTGTCAAACATAAGTTCAGAACGGTGTTGGAAAATAGCAGATTTGGGATGCTCTTCGGGGCCAAATTCACTCGTTTTTGTGTCAAACATGTTAAGGGTCATGGATAATGTTAGCATGAGCTTAAACCAGGGTACGCCACGCGAATTGCAAATTTACATGAATGATCTATTTGGAAATGATTTCAACTGCATCTTCAAGTTGATCCCTGACTTCTTCCAAAGAACACAGAAGAAAAGAACGACAACCATGTAAGATGTTTTATTCATTGCCAACACCTGGGATAGCTTCACGGAAGACTTTTTCCTGATGATTACAGTCCATTCTTTCATTCTTCTGACAGTCTTCACTGGCTATCACAGGTCAATTATATTCGATGATATATTTAAGAAATTAACATCATTTCGTTTTAACTGCATGTGCTTGTGTTCTATTCTATATATACAATTGAATTTACGAAAGTTAAATTGTTGCCATGGTATCATGCAGGCACCAAAAAGCTCGAGAAACACAGACGAACCACTCAACAAGGGAAATATTTGTGTAACAAGTACAAGCCTTCCTTCCATCCGTGAAGCATACTTTAGCCAATTTGAAAAGAATTTCGAACTTTTTCTAAAATCACGTTCAGAGGAAGTAAAGTCAGATGGTATTATGGTACTTACATTCATCGGTAGAGATGAAACCCATAAATTGGTAATCCTGCAGAGGTAGTTGGAATGGTACTCAATGACATGGTCCAAGAGGTAAGCCATGAGGTCTATAGATGATTATGCAAAAGAAATGTTTTTTTAACAATTTATGTGTTGTTATTTAGCAAGGTCGTATTTTATTATTTATTTCCCCTGTTGTTTTGCATTGGATGTAATACCTGTGGTGTATGTTTTGTGATTGCTGAAGTCAGAAATTTGAAAGACTCTAGAGACCAGAAATAGGAAAATAAGGTTGCTTTATTTATTCTTTGTGATTTGTAGGGTTTACTTGAAGAGAAAAAATTAGACTTCTTTGATCTTCCTGTATATGGTCCCACTGCTGAAGAAGTTAGACAAGTGATTGAAGAAGAAGGATCCTTTGCCATTCAAACATTGAGGACTTTCAACATAGGTTGGGATGCAAATCTTCACGAGGATGTCGATGATTCTATACTTGATAGCAAAATGAAAGGAGAGTTCGTAGCCAAGTCCATTAGAGCTATTTTTGAACCTCTTTTGTCAGTTGAGTTTGGGGAAGATACCACGGATGAATTGTTCAAAAGATTTGAAAAGAAAGTTTCCCAACTCATTGAATTTCAGACTTTGGAGTATACTAATGTGTCAGTGTCCTTGGCCAAAGTTTCTTGAAGATATATATTTTGTTGGGTTAATTATAATCAAATGTTTTGGATGACTTAGTTATTTTGGATTTTTACTATAATGTTGAGTTAAGTATTCAATTCATTGTAACTTTATATTTCTTTCCAGGAGAAACTTTCTTTATGTTAGTTTAGTAGCCTTGTAACTGTGGAGTCTTATCTATTTAGTTCTATATATAATATCTATTTTTAATATCAATAATGTATTATAAAAAAGCATAATGTAAAAGCTTAACGATTTTAAAATAATTGCATAATATAGAAAATTAAAGAATTAAATATGTTTTCGGTTTCAACTTTTAATAAAAATTAGAATTATTTTCTCTTTTGAAATTTTGATTTAATTTAATTCTTTAATTTTAGAAATACATAAATTTTATTTTTTAATTAAATTTTATTAAATTTATGTGACGTTTCTTTGTAAATTAAGAGATAAAAATTATATTAAATTACATGATTTTTGTTCATTTATTTAAAGTGAGAGCTTTCATGTTTTAGAAATTCAATGAGATGGATGACCGTATGCTTTTCTTTCTATATGAGATGGTTCTTCAATGCTAGGAGGATCCAATTGGATGAATGATAATTCAAAGTCTGACTTCCTTTGACTCAGTATTCTATGATCTCTCTTAATATACGTAGGGCAGAAAAGGTGCGAACTTGATTAGGAGGGGATGTTACCTCTGTTTGATGACAAATGAATGCGACTGGTTTATAAACTGTATAGAAATGGGAGACCAAAGGTTTAGAACACTGCACTTTTAGCTGCAACAGACGAATACTCAAACATCCCATCGTAGGACAACATGACACAAAAAGAGGTCATGAAAAGGTAAAATGTTTAGTTTACTCCTTACATTAAGGTAAAAGGTTTAGTTTACTCCTTACATTCGTCTCCAAACTTCAAGCTCGAATCAAGGTTTTTTTTTTTTTTTACTTCACGTTAGTTTCTATTCGATCGAATTGGAGTGCTATCTGCATAAAGTAATCTTATTCTAAAGTCAAGAAATGTTCGATAATATAAGAGCCTGAAAAATATAAGATTATTGGACCCTATGTTGAGGTAGCCTGACCCAAGAAGCTAAGGGTCTTAGTTCATCATCCCGTTCCTCTTTCTCTCCCTAAACTCAACTTCCTTTTTCTTCTGCCTTCTCTCTACTCTTACTCACATTTGAACCATTAGATTTTTAACTAGCTGGTGTTCTTTCGCTCACGGAGTTGAGAGCTTCCTATCCATCCGATTAATTTCCGCTTTGGACGGGTAAGTTAGTTTCTCCATTCTTCTTGAACCTAGGGTATGCAACTTTATTGTTGCATGCAACTGGTAGTACTCCTCTTTGATTCTCTACTTATTCTAGTTCTAAGAGTTGTTTCCATCACCATTTAGGTGGTTGTAGTGCACTGTTCGGGTTCTCGTGGTGAAGGGCAATGTTAGGACATTCTAGGTGGACTATACTGCTCAACTTCAAGGTAAGGGGAGCTAGTTGTTTGTTTTAAGTCTGTTTTGGCAAATATGTATGCATGTGGATGTTGAACTGGTATGCTGTTTGGAGTTGTACGTCTTGTTCAAGTATGTTCTGTATATGTATTGATATGGGAGAACTATGAACTGTGATGGGATGATTTTAATCTGTTTTGATGTGATTTGATCTCTGGAATTGGTGTTTGCTGAAGTGTTTAGGGTGGAAAACTGGTGGTTGAGTTGTTTAGGTGAGACGTTGGGGTTCGAGTGTTGTTTTAGGTTAGTTTGAGGGAAGTGGAGTAGTGATTTTGGGCAATTGGAGTCTTAAGAGAAATGGGACTGTATGAGTATCTTAAATAGGCCTAATGTGACCTGTTAGAGTCATAAACTTGGACTAAAGCAAGTTAGAAATGGTAAAATTGAATTGAGCCTCTAAGCCATAGGATTTAATGTGTTAGAATTGAGTTCAAGCCTAAATTACTTTAGAATCACTGTTTAATTGTTAGGATTCATCTAGACGAGTTTAACTAGGTTCATATCATGAATTAGAGGTCTTAGAAGTTGGGAAGGAAGGTTGTAATTGGTTGGAGGGGTGTGAGTTGCATGACTTTGCAGAATTCGCATTCTGCAGATTATGCAGAGTCGCTATGCGAGTTGTCTCGCATAACGAGACCCTGTAGAGGGTACTCATTGTCTGGATAATTTGCTATGCGAGCTGGTACGTTGTGCGAATTACCAGAGGGTGTTGCTCTCTGGTTGTGGACTCGCCTGGCGAGTCTTGTCGCTATGCGACTGGTGGTGGTCTGGGACCACTACCTATTTAATTCGAAGGGCGAGTGGGGCGCATAGCGAGAGTTTTAGGGGGGTTGGTGTATGTCTGGACTCTCGCATAGAGACTTGGGTACGCTATGCGAGAGACCCAAAGTCTAATGCTTATTCAGACTTAATTCGCAAGGCGACCTGGGTAGGTGCGCTATGCGAATTGTGCCAGTCTCGCCATGCGAGGGTGGTGCGCTGTGCGACAAGTGTTGGGTCTGGTTCTTTAATTACATTGTATGCTACGTTTGATTGATGTGCTCTTTGGTTGATTGGTGAAGCATTTCCTTGCATCGATAGTACTGTATTGTGATGTTCAAACAAGTATGTGGATGGTAGCAAAAAGTGTATGGTTATAAGTGGTGGTAAGATGATACAAGTTGTAAACCAAGTTCCATCTGTGTAGGATCTCTTAGTGAGATTCTTAGTGTTTAGAATGAAAGTAGGAGCTCAGTCTTGGGGGTCATCCTGAAACTCCAATGGTCTTTCTTCTCATGTAGAGAGGACTGAATCGTGTGGTGAGGAGTAGCAGGAGGTCTTAGTCTTGGAGGCTTCCAGTATGCCTCAAGGCCCGGAACATGCTAACCTTGTGAGTGTGGTAGGGTGGGGGAGCCCAAGTTTCATAAGCCACCATGAGTGCAAGACCTGTCATAGCTCGACTATCATTCTAAAGTCCGGACGAGTCAAGTCTAGAAAGTAACATGTTAGGATGTGTGTTTATCTTGTTTGATTCAACTATATTCTTGCATGCACATCTTGTCATATTGTCTGTTTTTTATATAATTAGCTCACCCTTGCTTGTTTGCGCTCGTGTTGTTTGTGTATGTTTCTTCTTGCGATGATCATCCACTTGGATGGGAGTAGATGTCGAGGAGGAACCCTTGGAGCAAGCCTTGGAGGAAGAGAATGCCGAATCCTAGTATCATTAGGATATTTGTACTTTGAATTATGCGTTTTAAAACTGTATTTGTAGAACTTATGTTATTCTGGAAGACTTTAGTACCTCATGTTTGAATTCCTAGCTTTCTAAGGATGGCTGTAACTCCCTATACTCTGTCATATGTTTCCAACTACTTTCTATTATTATAATTCAATGATGTCTTTATTATATATGCATGACGTATATTTTAAGGATGTCACAGATAGTATTAGTAATAAATACGCAATGAATGTAACCAACTACCTAAATACCATAAACTTGTATTTATAAATTTCGGGATGAACTTCTGATTAATATTGACCTAATTATGGTATAAACATGGTCTAAACGGTAATGGTCTAACTTATGACTAATATAAGTATCCTTAACGTTAATCATGTTTTCAGTCTGACCGTTCAGTTTACCGTAGACTAGTCGATTGCTCGATTCTTGAGTTGATCCTATGTTGAATTTGGAGATAATAACTAACAAGAGTTGAATTTGGATTCTTGGAAAAATTGAACCTTTTAACAATCTTTCATGTTTTTAAAATGATTTTACAAATAAAATCGATAACAACAATAGAAATAAAGAGTATAGGAAAAAAGAAAGATTGCACAAGTGTTTTATACTTGTTTCGATTAAAAGACCATACGTTCAGTTGTTAACCTTTTTAAAAAAAGATTAACTAAATACTAAGAAATAACCAGAACTTACAATATCACAGAGAAAAGATTTAAGGTTAGAAAGCACCTCCTTTGACTCACAAACGATGAACAACACCTCTTTCAATACACAAAGGATGAACACCTCTTTCGACATACAAAGGATGAATGACTTTCTTAGCAATAGTTGCAACACTCGATCACCTAGACACACAGTGAAAGTTCTCGCTTTACCCACACTAAGTTTTTCAAAGCCTCTAGCTTTTATGAAAAATAAAGCTTTACTTGAGAACTCTGTTGCTTGAGTTGTACCTCTTGACTCTTGAACTACTAAATTAAATACAATACACAAATTACAAGACTTTAACAATGAATTTCTTAAGACTTTAATGTATCTATTGAATTCAAACATCCTTTAAATCGTCAACACTCCTTCATGAAACATAATTAAAATCCTTTATTGAAACAATATGTCTATCTTCTTCTTTTTGCTAACATATTAGACACATCATAATGATTATAAAGCCAAATAAAACTCAACCTTATGAAAGGTTGCAAGCATCAACCTCTAATGATGGTTGTTAAAATACAACCTCAACATTAGTTACTCAAGTCAAAACTGAAAATATTAAAACTCATGCATCTTTAAAATTGGTCCAATTACATCTTATTTATGGCTTTTGAGTTTGAGAGGAAAATGTAACTACTAGATCTCAAGATATTCGGTGTGATGTCCCAATTATCAATTTTATTAGTAAATTTTTTTTTATAACCTACTAATGTAATTACAAAATATTGTATACTCTTTAAAAAATTTACAACACCTTAATTAATTATTAAACATATTTTGCATCCTTATTCATATTTATATAGGTATTTTACATTAGCCCAAAGCATAATTATACATTGTTTACTAACATACATATATTTCTACTATAGTAGTTTTATAACTTTATTCTTATTTTTTTCAAAATTAGACTAATATAATGGCATCATGTAGAAGAGATTCATATGAATGAAGGTGGAGAGAATAGTGAACATGATAGTAATGGGCACTTTTAGAGCTAATGAGCGTTAATGTGGACAAACTATAAGGAAGTGATAAGAGTGTCACATAAAGGTCACTTGTTCTCAAAATATCAAAATCCATGTATTATCATTCCCCAAATTTTCTTCATCCTTTTGTCCTAAGAACTTA